GCTGCTTGTTTATTGTGATATTCTGTGTTTGTTTGTTTGTTTGTTTTTTTCCTTTGGGTGCACTTTGATATGTAGTTATATGGTATTTTTGTTTAGTGTGATTATCTGTTTGTTTGTTCGTTCGTTTTGATATGTAGTTATATGGTATTTGTGGTGTTTCCACTTTGAGTTTGATAAATGCATTGATTGTGAATTATGTGTTGTGCATGTCCTAAACATCTGTCTAATCAGTTAGACAGACATATTTTCTTTGAAAAAATAAATACATATTACAAAACGTTATATTTTTATTTACATTGTATTTTAAAATGTGATATTTGAATATAAAAATGTATATTGTTGGAAGCAGCAAAATATGATATTTGAATATGAAATTATGTACGTTTGAAGCAACAATTTTATATGTAATTGCATGTTTTTTCCTTACTACACTGCATTTAACTAAAAGATAAATAAAGGAAAAAAAAATCATATGATTTTGCTTTCCAGCAAGAATTAGGCATATACATATTCTTATAGTAATTAAAATAACCTTCTCAATCAGACCAAGAAATTCCCGAACATGATATAACAACAAATTCTCACTATCAAAATAACCAAGGAAAAAAAATAGAAACGTCACGTCATGAGTGCGGCCACCTTGTCACCGGCAATCTAATACCACACGCTCTCCTCATGGACTTTATCTTGATTATACCCTTTCTCAGCCTCCGGGCCTCCGCGAATCTGGCCCGTGTATTGGCCTGGGCCGCAATATCAGTTAACGGCCCGGACGGGTCAAACCCAAAATCCTCCCCAGCACAGATGTTGAGATCCGGGATCCCGAGTGGGCCCACATCGCTGACAGTACCAAGCCCATCACGGGATCGGTAGAATTGGGCTGTAACTGGGCCCCGCGGAACGAGCAGCTGGTGATAAGGCGCCACGCTATTTTGATGATGGTAAAAATTATTCATCTCGAGGGTTTTTCCCATTTCGGGCCGATGATGGAGAAAATTATTCATCTCGAGGGGTTTTCCCATTTCGAGCTCTTTTTTTCTTAGGCAAGAATTCGATATCTGGGCAATATATTGAAGAGGAAAAAGAAAAAAAGTGATAAATAAAGAAACCATATAAACTATATGATTCTTACCATAAATGTTCGGGTTGAATATTAATTCAATAGGAATATATCCAGTTATATATTTTCAACAAATCATAATCTTAAAAAANNCAAGACGGTGAAATTCCATATTCTAAAAAATAACCTAATCAAGGTTACATGATTTCATTCAAGCAATTTCGTTAAAATTGTGCAATTTGATTTCACAGTCCCGTTCATGATATTATTAATAACATAAAATAAAATAAATAAAAATTGACACACGTTTTACCTCCTTTTTCATTATCTTCAACTCAGAATTGTAGGATTTCAATCTGTTGTAATACTTGGTTACATTCTCAATCTCCTGCATATTTGAAACCAGAAAAATATCATCCAAAGGGCCAAAAAGAGTAAGAATCTTTTTGACTAAAAAGGGATTTTACGGGTAAAAAAAATACACAGCCAATCCAATTATTTAATGAAATAGGATGAAACTGCCAAATTGTAAAGAAAAAAACTGATGATTTGCAGAGATTTTCGTCCTCAGAAACTCACCCCTCTGAGCAAATCCCTGCGTTGCGTTAATTCCTCAATCAAATCCAAATACTCCTCCTTCGACTGCAACAACAACGGCGATATATAATAAAACAGGAACAAAAATGATGAAAAAAATCACAAGAAAAAAAATCTGTTATTTATCGTGAATTTCTGTAAAAAAAATGTTCAAGAACAGAAAAAATTTACTCAGAACTGATATCAAGTGAAGAAGAGAAAAGATACACGTACTCACCCTTTGTGTGCAGTTTTTCCTGAAACCGTGCCTCGATTTCTTCTCATCAGATTCACTGGGCGCGAAGGAGAGCGGCGTGACGGGGCTCGTGGTGGCGCCGTCTTCCTCCTCCACTTCCTCCACCGCCGCTGCCTTCGATTTCGATTTCCTCGCCTCAATCCTCTGAAACGACGGCGACGGTTGCGCACGGGAGGGCCGTGCGCCGCCGTCAAGTCTAGATCTCCTCCTTCTGCCGCCCCACTTGAAAATCGAGCGCGAATTGCTATCCCTGATGATGTCTGGAAGGTCGATTAGAATCTGCGCGACCAGAATTTCGTCCTCCGTGAAAGAATCTAGAGAATGGCTCTTCTCGCCTCCGGCGTCGCCCATCGTCTTCCCTCCCGACCGCGCCCTGGTTAATTGAGAGAGAAAGTTGAATTATTCTGTATTTCGTTTTTCCACTTTTTTTTTTTCTTTCAACTCTAAAAGGGATTTTGTGACGAGCAAAAGCAGAGAGTGCTAATGGCGGAATTTGGAGATGAGAGAGAGGTTTATTGACTTGGGGAGGAAGGGTTATGAAGAGAAGGGGACTTGCTGATGCCACGTGGCGAACAATTGGGGGAAGACTTGTTCCTCTAGGGTTTATGCCAACGTGGATTATTCGAACCTACGTATTCTTATCTTTTTTTTTTTTTTAATTAACAATTAGATCTTCATATGAGTCTGACTGTCTGTAGTCAGTAGTTCAACGGTATTTATGTTGTCAATTGTCATTGATAGAGTCGAATGTATCGTTTATGCAATTTGCGTATGTCGACTATGCAAAAAATTTAATCATGACTATTCTTATAATTTATCTTTTATAATTGGATCTTCATATATTATTATGAGTCCAAGATTCAATGGTAAAATACCATGTTCTCGTTGATAAAATCGAATGTATTCAATTTGCATATATCGAATATGCAAAAAAATTCGATCATACTATTGAACGTGTGCTCATAAAAACAGTAGAACTAAATGTGGCGTAGCAAATGAGAACTCCTCCGATCTTGTGTTATGTGTAGATTGCATTAAGATAAAACAAATCAAACATAACAAAAAATATGCCATAAGAAGTAGTGAGCTTCTTGAAATAATACACATCGATATATGTGGACCATGTGATGCTCCATATTCTAATGGAGAAAATATTTTATTGCCTTTATAGACATTTTTTTTTTTATGTTATGGAAATGTCTATTTGCTGAAAGAAAAATATCATGCTACAAATGCAGTTGAGGCTTTCATTAATGAAATTGAAAGACAATTAACGAAAAATTGAAAATAGAAAAATCCGGTAGAAATGGTGAATACTATAAATACAGACAAAATCTCATTATATTTGCTAAGTTCTTTGAAAGACATGACATATATGCACACACGAGAAATGCTATAGGTATTGTACATATGGGTATACATAACACTCATATTGAGTAAGACCTACCAAAAATAAAATATCAAGTAGACTCTACTCCATGTGAGTGCTATGTACACTTCTATGTACATTTATTATGTACTAGCTTGTATCATTTTCCTTCACACTATACTATGTTATACACACCTTAACAAAAGTGTAACAAAAAATTGAATAGATTATTAATTGATATGATTAGGAGAATGATGATTATGCATCATTACCCTAACTCTTTGCAGGTGTATGCTCTAAAGACATATATACCTACTAAATAATATTCCTAGTAAGACAATTCATAAAACACTTATAAGTTATGGGCCAAGAGAAGACATTATTTACGGAAAAGTACTTATAATGGGGTTAGCATTCTAAACAAATCAAATATTTTCAACTCGATTCATAATTCGAATTCGGTATTCTTCAATTGTATTCGGAAACATTCAATTCGTCAATAATAATTATATAAAATTTATTATATTATATAGAATATAATATTTTATTTGTATAATATATATATATATATTAAAAATAAATATAAAACACAAAATATATTAAATTTCTTTAAAGATATATTTAAAAAATAATTATGTACAAATTTATAATTAAAATATACATATTGGATTTTAAAATATATTTAAAAATATTTTTAATTATATATGAAATTTTAAATAATTTCATAAAATGAATTTCGAATGAATTGAATATATTGGACTATCTTAATTGAATCGAACACAAATCACAAGATAACAAATCTAATACGAATACGAATATTAGAATATTTCACGAACTCAAATTAGATAATTGAGAATTCACTTTTATTCGATTCATTTACAACCCTAAATGGAGCTCGGTGAGTGACAATGTTTCTAAATTCAACCAACTATTTCATTTACTCTAAAAAAAAAAGAAAATTATTTAAGTCAGTACCTGGATTTCAGGAGAGTTGGTAAGAGTAAGACACGGTAGATATATTTCAAAACTAATTACACAGTAGGTATATTTCAAAACTAAGGGCATGTTTGTATATGAAAATTTTCTACAAAATTTCTTATATTTTAATTCAACCACTTTTTTTATTCAACTGTAACCCAACCCCACTATCATTAATATTATCAATAAAATTAAATAATATCAATCAATCATTCATACACACCACATCTAATTATCAATAGAAAAAACCAGATATGATTGCAGACTTTCGTCCCACAAGCTTATGTTCGGTTCTCTATAAAATTATTTCAAAAGCTGTGGGGGCGAGACTAAAGAAGGTCATGAACCCTCTTATCTCAGTGAACCAAAGCGCCTTCGTCCCAGATCGGCTTATTATGGATAATGCAATCCTCGCCTTTGAAATGCTTCACTCAATGTCCAAAAAACGCAAAGGATACTCCCATTGGATGGCTACCAAATTAGATATGAGCAAAGCATATGATCAAGTCGAATGGGATTTTTTGGATATGATGCTCCTAAAGAAAGGCTTCTCTTCGCAATTCCGTCGGTTGATACGGCAATGCATATCGACTGTCAAATTTTCGTTTCGGATAAATGGGAATCTCGTGGGAAGTGTTAGACCTTCACGTGGACTTCGACAAGGGTGTTCTTTATCTCCATACCTTTTTATTCTGTGTGCGGAAGGTATTTCAGCGGCTTTTCACAAAGCAGAATCGAAAAAATCTCTTACGGGCTTTAAATGTAGCAGACTCAGTCCACCGATTTCACACCTTTTATTCGCGGATGACTCAATTATTTTTGCGAAGGCCACTTCGGATGAGGCAACAACAATTGCCAATATTTTGGAGAGCTACGAGGCGGCATCTGGGCAGAAGATTAATTTGGCAAAATCAGCGATTTTCTTTTCCCCTAATACACCATCTCAGGTGCGTTCGAATCTTTGTCTAAGCTTGGGAATTCTTTCAGCAACCCCCCATAATACTTATCTAGGTCTTCCTTCAATGATTGGTCGGGACAAGAGTCGAACTTTTGCGACTATTAGGGAGAAAATTTGGAAAAGACTCCAATCATGGAGGTGGAATCAGTTCTCTTCGGCGGGTCGGGAAACACTTATTAAAACTGTGATACAATCTATGTCCACTTATTTAATGAGCTTATTTTGAATCCCACAATTCGTTTGTGATCAGTTAAAAAAGCTTGTTGCTCAATTCTGGAGGGGGCCTAAACAAGGAGAAAGAAAATTATCGTGGGTTAAGTGGAATAGGTTAACACTGTCCAAACAACTCGACGGCTTGGGTTTTCGAGACTTCTCAAAGTTCAATTAAGCCTTGCTTGGGAAACAAGCCTGGAGGGTCCTTTCGAAGCCGGATTCTCTTGTGTCTAGAGTCCTTAAATTAAAGTATTTCCCATCTTGTTCATTTTTAAAGGCATCAGCTCGGCCAGGATCGTCGTTCTTATGGTGAAGTCTTGTCTGGGGCCGTGAAGTCATTAAGGTAGGAATGCGATGGAGAGTGGGTGACGGAAAGTTAATTAGGGCTCTCTCGGACCCCTGGATCCCTCATTTTCAGGGGTTCCGACCTATTTCCCCTTTCCCGTCATGCATTGATCGAGTATGCGAACTATTCAGAAGTGATGGAGACTGGAATCATGAATTGATAATCCGAGTTTTTCAGCCAATTGACTCTCTTAAAGTTCTTTCCATTCCCCTTAGTCGAGCTATTACCACCTCTGACATTTGGCACTTTTCCAAGAACGGAGAGTACTCTGTTAAGAGTGGGTATCATTTGCTCAAACAACAATCCTCTGGTCTCATAGAATTTTCGTCTTCGCGAAATGTTGGGTGGTGGAAAGCTTTGTGGAATTTGAACATTCTCCCTAAAATCAAAATGTTCCTTTGAAGGGTATGTAACTTGGCATTCCCTTCAGCTGAGAACCTGTTCAGGAGACATATTGGAGTGGAGGCTAGATGCCCCAGATGCTCGAGGTGGGAGTCTAATCTTCATGTTTTTTTTTTTAGTGCGATTGGGCTAAGAGACTTTGGAAATTTTCCGGGTGGTGGACTATTCTCGCTCCTATTCGAGGTATGAGTTTTTCTGTTATTTTTGAAGAGCTCTTGAACAATGATCGTGGTGCCGATTTTACTAGTTTTGCCTATTTACTATGGATCACTTGGCATGAGCGGAACCGAATTAAACGTGGTTTGCAAGCTAAATCGGTGGAGCAAGCTTGGTCAGTTGCGGTGGCTTGGCAAGTGGAGGCCAACAAAGCTCGATCGGGACGGCTCGATTTGGATCGCGTTTTGCTTCCATCAGCTTTTGATAGCTGGTTTGGAACAGGGACTTGCCGTAATGATCTAACCTTATTCTGTGATGCGGCGGTTCGAGAAACAACAATTGGCTTGGGCGGTTGGATTGGAAATTCGAAAGGAGTTTGCTGGGCGGCCTTTGCAGTTTGCATTCCAGGTTCCTTTTCACCAGTTGCGACCGAATCAGTTGCCCTCAGGTATGGTCTTCGCTTTGCATTAGATGCGAGATTCTCTCTTCAAAGTGCTAAAACAGACGCCCTCTCAGTTGTTATCGGGTTGATTGAAAACTCCCCGTACGATCCGTTGCACCAAGTGTTCATGAATATTTTATCGCTTTTGGCAAAGCTTAATTGTGGGTCTTGTTCTCATGTGGCTAGGGATCATAATATTGTTGCACATTCTCTTGCTAGTCTGGCTCTTTCATTTTCGTCGACGGGACCTTTATTTTGGATTGATAGCATCCCGTCTTTTTTATCTCTCTTGTTTGGATTTGTATCGGAAGTTTAGCTTACGCTGGATTGTATTTTGTATTTTATTATGTTTACTATTAGTGCAAAAAAAAAAAAAAAGAAACNCAACTTCAATTCACTATTCATCTACTCACATTCTTTTAACTAACCATCACTTTAAATTATCTCTCTCCTACTTTTTTATCAAATCAATTTTAATTATTTTATTTTAAATATTATTTTCATATACCCACTAACAACTAACCATATCATATTTTTTCAAAATTAACCAAACCAAATAAACAAATCTCAACAAACCAGAATTTTTTATAAACAAGCATGCTCTAAGCAATTACACAGTAGAGTTTACAACAGGGCAAGAAATTTGCACCCGAACTCAAGCAAAACTATACTCAAACGTAACCATCAATAGTGTAGGTTACAGATACAAACAATGAAGAAATTATATGTTACAAGCATACACAAATTGGCAAATTAAAAATGAAAAAATAAAAAAGAAAAACTTCTAAATGACCCTCTGGCAAAGCATGGAAGAAAAAATCAATCAATTTTTCGAGATGCCGAAGGCTTTAACTTAGGAACTTTGAAATTGGACGTGAACAATCTCGGGGAATCTTCAATCGTAATAACTTCGACAGCTTTCCTCTTTGAACTATTGATATTGCTGGTACTTCCCTGCAAGAACAAGCCAGTCGAGTTTTAAATAGAATTTACACCAACGATAATTATTGGAACATGCAAATGCCTTAGATATCGAATTATTAAAATTTCGGTTTAACAGTACTCATTCAGCCTTTTGAACTTTCGACTTCAAAATCTTTCGATTTCATAAGTGTTGTTTACTTTGTCCATTCCTATGAACATGCCCCTAAATGGAAAATAATGAGATCATCAGCAAGAGGAAAAAAACAAACCGTGAATGGCTTCTTGGGAGCCTTTCCTCTTCCAGTCGACTTACGAGCAGTTTGCTTTGTCTGAGATGTCTGTAGATACACATAGTACAGATTGACAACTTAGCTGAAGCACTATATCAAGTCAAAAATGATTTTATAGCAGCCAAACATNTCTAATTTACAAACATCCAGAGATTTTGGTCAAAAACTCACAATGAATAAGTTGCTACTGGAACGTATAACAAACTATGGAGAAATTGAAAAACCAAAATAAATTTCAAGACTACCATTTCCATATTATTTGAAAACTAACCACTGCTCAACAATGAGCACCAATCATGCTGAATGGGCCAATTACAGCTGAAAAACAAAGTCAAAATGTGCATTTCATTGAAAAACTAAGTCAAACTAAGCCAAAATGTGTATTTCACTGAAAAACTACAAATGGCTTTCAGTATCCCAACAATGAGAAAGTATCAATCCACCAGTCGCTGCTGCATACTCCGTTCATTTTCAAGAAAACCATTCTTAGCAAAACCAACAAAACAGAAAAAATTAAAATTTTCTTCAAATCATATGCAAACAATAGTGTGCACTATGACAGACAACTTCAGCAAACTGGTCCATGAAGACAAATCAAGTGAAACTCGCAAAAGCAAACACCAAATTCACAGGCAAGCATGAAGATAACTTGATAATAATAATAATGATTAAAAAAAGAAATAAGGAACAAGAAGAAATTCACCTTCCCAGAGCTTCGTGAGTTATCTGCTTCTTTTTTCACTTTTATAACCCCTCCTCCATTACTAGTATCACCACTACTTTTTCCTCCCCTTTCTGATATCTTACAAGGATGCAACAAAGTTGAAGGTGACTCGGACCTGGATTTGAGGAGATCGATTTCCTTCAAAAGTCTCGATATTTCCTCACTCTTTCGAACCGAATCGGACTCCAGCCTGGAGAAGTCGGTTCTTAATTTTTCATGTGAGACCTGTAATTCCTCAGATGCGTTTACAATGTGACGAAGCTTTTCATGTGCGTGCTTAACTTCTTCGTCTTTCCTCTTTATTTCTTTGTTCAAATCGTCCTCCGTCTTCTTCAGTTGATGCCAAACAAAATTCTTCTCGGCCAAGAGAGCGGTAACCTCAGTGTTCTTATCCGATTTACATTTCTCGATTTCGCACTTCAGCTTCTTCACCTCGTTTTGAAGTGCCTTGTTCCGTGAGCCTTCCCCTTTACTACTAACATCATCCTGCAATTATGGTAAAAACTTCAAAAATATTGTAGCAATTGGAAAACAAACCAATAAATAAATAAATAAATAAATAGAAGAGTACAAAGCATTACCTTAGGCTCCTCACATTTTTGAACGAGGTAGTCAAACCATTGTCTAAAATCAGCTAATTCACTGTCGACATTCTCTACATTTCACAAAGAAAGGAGGACAAATACAAAAGGTACAAAGATGAAAAAAAAATTAATAATAATGATAAGTGTAATGCATAACTTCCAGGTTACATGAAAAAACTGCTTATAAACTACAAGGTGATTCACAGAGCTGACCAGCATAAGGCCTAAAGCATGTAAAACTTAATCGTGGTTTATAATCTGTTACTTACTACAGACCTTCGTGGTTTCTAAATCAAGAGTCACAATTTTCTTTAACATAATACTTCATTGTAAAATTCTAATTTATATTGATCTTGGCTTAAGTCACAATATCTCTATAACAATTCACAAAATTCCAACAGAGAAAACAACTACGAGAAAACCTCAAGTAACACACACACACACACACACACAAAAACAGAATGAACCTAAGATCAGAACAAATATCTAACTCTTTATGTAACTTTGACTTCATACACATTCTGTTCTTCTAACTGCATCTGACTAATACCAAGACTTGAACATAATCTTAAAGGCCTCAAAAGTAGAAGCAACTGAAAAATAAATTTACAAAAGCATAAAAATGTTCTCTTTCGGATTANAAAAAACTAACCATATCTATGCTTGTACACGAAAGCCTCCCTCTCCTTCAAACCCAAAAAGAATTCAGCTCTCGAAGCCTCAAATTTCTGATCCATCTTCATCTGCGCGGAGAAACCCCCATTATCCACATTACTCAAACACAAAGCCCTAACTGGACTCTAAAGTTCATAAATTACAAAACGACCCCCAAAAAAGATATGATTTTACCTTATAAATGACTTCGTGCAAATATTTGATCCTATCTTCAAGAAATTGTCGCTCCGTCTGCAGATTCTTGGATAATTTTACGAGGGCGTTGAAAATTTCATCCCATTTTTTCTCGCGGTCTGAAGCTTTCCGGGGCGATTTGCGCTTCCCCATTGCAGTAAATTACAGAAGCGCAGATACAAAATAATAATTTTATAGTAAAAATTACCAATTACAGAAAATAGATGCGAACCAGAACAGCTTATGGGGTTTTACAGTGGGGAAGAGAATCGTAGAGAGAGGAATTGCAAGGGACGAACTATGATCCAACGGTCGATTTATTTTAAATATAGCAAAGTCGCGTCGGCCCATGGGCCCATACCCCTTTGAATCCATTTTTATAATTTTAATCTTGAATATGTTGGTGCTGTATTAGCCCTGTTTACTAAGCCCACTGGGAAAAATGACATATGTCCTAAAAATGAAGTTGGTTTTTGTTTTTGTTTCCAATTTGATCTTTCTTCTTCAGTTTCAAAGTATGAAGTTAATTTTCCACTTTAATAGCTAGTTACAAAACGTTAACCTTAAAAGGTTCTTCTTGCATTGCACGAACCTAACTAGTTTAGACGAACACTTTTTTTTTTTTTTTCAAATATGTATATTTTAAATTAAAAAGTGCCATACTTTAAAAACAATATAAATAGACATTTTTGCTATGAAGTTATCAATTTTGCTATGACATATGACATTTAATTGTATGAATATGAATTTTTTACCAACCATAGTCGAACTACTTCACATAAATTTTGCACCCTTAAACATTTTGTAGCGATAAAGTATAGAGCGTGATTAATAGCAAGTAGGAACCTCTATTATTTTTTTTAATTGTTGTTTTTTATATATTGGATCCTCTTTATGTTCTAGTTAATTTTTAGACAACAGAATGGTGGCATAGAGTCCATATATACCAAGTTACTATTTGTGATAGCCGATTCAATCGTAGCCCACAAGTTAATGGTTCAAAATTGAGTTGACTTGAACTGAATCAAACTGAGAAATGTCTATTCTAAAGTTACTGGTCGAGGTATGAAGGTCGAACCAGTAAGTAGGCATGACCATTTCTCAGTTTCGGGTCCGAACCGTCGGTTCTGGGCCGAGGGTTGCAGGGCCCTGAACTGGTCCAAACATATGCACGGATCAGTTCAATAAAAAAAATAGAAAAAAAGGGTCGAAATGTAGTTTCTAGTTCTGGTTCGAAACTGTCCTGGCGGTTCGAAAACCAAAATATATGTGGCCCACGGGTCTGGGCCCGGCTCGGATTTTCAACCGGGGCCGGTTCAGGGTCGTCTTTTTTTCGACACCGACCCGGCGGGCCGGGCTGGGTCCGGTTAGCACGGAAAAAATCAATTGTTTTTGAATTTTTCTTTTTTTTCTTTTTCTTTTTAAATTTTTCTGGGTCAGGCCCGACCGGGTCATGGGCCCGGCACGGGTTTAGGGCGTGCCGATTCAGGGTCGACAAAACCCAACCCTTCGGCCCGCCATTTGGCCATGTCTAATCTCGTCAGCATTTAATGAAGCCACATCCTCATTTAATGCGCCTATAGGCGCGGATATGGTGGCAACTAGGGCTGCAAACGAGCCGAGCCGAACCGAGTCGAGCATTGGCCTTCTCGAGCAGGATTTTTTTTTTCTTTTTTAACTGCTCGAGCTCGATTTATGAGGTTCGAGCTCGACTCGATAAAAAAATTACAATCGCTCGAGCTCGCCTCGAGCTCAACTCTAACTCAAAATGCTCGAGTTCGGCTCTAAAATTTTTATGTAAAAAAATAAAATTACCATTAAGCACCTATGCTATACTTGTGCTTATTTTTATTGTATGACTAAATGGTCACTATGAATGCATATTTGTGACCGATTTGAGACCGAAAGAAGATAATTGATTGGTAGAGTTGGAATATTTATAACGTAATGGAATAAACAACTTCTGCCCAAGTTGTGAGAGAATCCAGTGTGAGGGTCATGAACCAAGCTTTGGCTAGGTCCTTCAGGGTCTCCGGGATGCACCGCATTTTTAATTGGTCCTCGGTTAGCCCGTGCAGAGGGAATGTCTGGAGGACGTTGTAAAACACCCGGATAAAGTGGAGTGGGTCATCGTTGGGGAGCCCGTGGAATGATGAGAGCTGATTGTAGTGGACCATCTTCAGCTCATAGTTTCGGGCGGCATGCCCCAACCGGATACAAGAAGTGATTGACCCGATCATGGGTTGGGCCAGGTCTCGGAGGAGATCACGGGGAGGCTGCTGATCAGCCATGTCCAAATTGCGTCCCTCAGATGATTTGGGAGAATGCTCGCCTCCTCTGTATGATTCAAGAGTAAGCTCGTCTAGCAGCTCTCTCAGGCTCTCGTTGAAGGGCTTATTGATCGGAGATAGTATACGTCCACTCCTGGTACGCATATACTCAAACAAACAATGGGTTACAAGCACCAATGATAGAAGAAAGAAAATAAAATGAAAACAAAAACAAAGAAAGAACTAACACCTAAACAAACAAAAATAAACAAAGAGAAACACAGAAACAAAGAGAATAAGCGCACAAGATAAGTCCTAAACCCTCCCCGGTAATGGCGCCAAATTTGTTGTAGCAAATTATGTTATTTACCGAGTACTGAATCAATCGTTCCCCGGGTCGATCTCTCGAGGAAGGTTTGCCGGATTATAATGTACGATTATTCAACCACAAAAAGAGAAATAAAATTCCTAAACATTCGTATTCAGATGACTTGGTTTGATTATCAACTACGAAGAACTCAAACACGCAAATTGAAACTTAACAACAAAGACAATGAACGAGCAAGAATAGAGAAGCTAGGGCGTTGGGGATATCCGATTTGGTTCGAAATGCAATTATTGGGCAAGTGATCTTTCGGTTAAGTGATTCGAATAACCTACTCGTTCAAAGATTCATTCTCAATAACTCTTCGTAACAAGAGAACAAACATGAACGGTAAATTAACGAGTCATTTAACACATAGGCAATACTATTACGAACAAGCCTATATCAATTGACTCCTCCCCTTTCAGTTCTAAGAGTCGACTAAAATGGACTAGAAGGTGGTTAATCAACTAGTCTATTAGGATTGAAAACAACACACGAGAATAAATCATATTCAAGTGTGAACCAATCGTAAATTGAAGTGTCACTCTTCAATAATAATCAACATTGAAGCATGAAGTTCAAGAATCCTAGTTCAAAATTAACTCGCATAAATTGAACGATTCAACAAGCACGATAGTCACAAACGAATTCAAAAAACATCATCCCCTATCCCTAGCGAACCGGATTAGTTACTCATATGAAATTCAACAAGAACATTCACAACAATCCAAGCATTCATATCCATAGGGTAGATGAAAAGGAAAACTTACAATTGATAAAGAAATAGAATGATGAATCCCAACTACAAGCTTAATCCGAAAAATAGAGAAGAAATCAAGATGAAATCCTAAGTGTAAGATGGTGTTCTAGAATAGAAATATGGAAAAAAACGAGTTTGGGGAATGATCCCTCAGGTCTGGGGGTTCATTTCAATATATAGGGCTCGAAAAACCGAGCAAAAATGAGAAAATCGAAAAAAAATAAATTTTGGCCGCGCACAGGCCCTAGCGGCGCTAGGAGGTGCTAGCGGCGCTAAGGCAGGTGGCCTGGGAGCCTCTGGGGTCGCTAAGGGATCGCTAGGGCGCGCTAGCGGCGCTAAGGCATGGTTAGCGACGCTAACAGGGGGCTTGGGAGCTGGCTTGGGCAGCTTTGCGCGACTTCGCGTTTCGGGCTCGTTTGAGCTCGTCCGAACTCGGAATTGAGTGCCGTTTTTTTCTACGCGTAGCCAACGAACCCTTCTAGTTAATTATGCTTTCCCATCAAATATTTTCCTGCAATAATATTCTCCCAAATCTTATGACCTGACACCAAAACATGCTTCGCGCGACTTCGCGTTTTGGGCTCGTTTGAGTTCGTCCGAACTCGGAATTGAGTTCCGCTTCTTCCTACTTGTCACCAAAGAGCCCTTCTAGTTAATTATGCTTGCACAAAAAATTTATTCTTGCAATCCTATCCGCCCGAAGCTTCATACCTGCACACCAGAAACGAAACCAAAAAAGGAGAAAACCAGAAAACGAAAGAAAAACACGGAAAAACTCAAAATGAATGAAAATACGCAATAAACTACAAAAACAACTAAAAACCAAAGAAGCGACCTAAAACGGGGAAAAAATAAAGACAAAATGACACCGAAAAACACAACAAAAATGGGACAAACACGGTCGGCGTGACACGTGGGAGTTCAAAACAACTCAAAAACGTCGTTTTCAACCCTCTTCAAAACTCCTGGTCCTTTTTCTCTCTGTAAAGATGATCGGACGATGCTCAAGTCATCGGACATGTAGAATTACGGCCACGTACATCCATCTGCGTGGGAACAGTGGTGGAGGTTTATAGGGACCGCCCACACTGGAAAAAGAAGACCTATATATCCCCTATGTAATATTGTCCATAAANTAATTATGAGTTCAAATAATAAGACTAATATAATAAAGGCTTTAGCTAATAAATTAGCATTATATGAATTTAACATGGGCTGGCAGCACTTCAGACAAAAAACAAAGGTAAATAAGAAGAGAAAAAATAGGGGAAAATGAGAGGTGAAAGAGAGAAAATAGTAAATAAAAAACTTATCAATTTTTTTTCCAAATATTTTAGTGGACGACTTGCGAGATGACGGAATTCCTTTATGTTTATTTGGGTGAAGATAAAATTATTCTTTTTTATTTTTTAGGTAGTGGATAATGTATTCTTTTTATGTAGAATTGCGAATTTAATCTCTAAATTGCTTATGGCTCTTTTAAGCGTGATATATCGAAGAAGCACAAGGTATTTCATTTAGTTTACAAGTTTTTAACTTTGTTGGTTTTACCGGTTGCAACAGCTAGCGTGAAAGGAGTATTTTCGCAATGAATATTATTAAGAGTAGATTGAGCAATCGAATGAGTGATGATTGGTTAAATTATAGACTACTAATTTATGTAGAACGTGAAACCTTCTTAAAAATTGGCAATGATGTTATTATCGAGCGATATCAGGCCATGAAAACTCGTAAAAAACGACTATAAAAGTATTTTTTGTATTTGCACTTTTTGTTAAGATATTTTATATTTTTTCATTAAATATTTAGGCCCACTCTCATTATATTTGCTAGATCCGCTCCTGGTGGGAAGTTGATGAACAACAGCTCCTCACTGGCACGAGTGCGA